TCTGCAGAACCATGCTCCCTCCAAAGACTCTAGCGGATAATCTTCCAGTTTCTGGTGCCTCCCGGCGCTCCTTGGCTGTGGCAGCAAAACTTCGATCTCTGCCTTCGTCCTTATATGACCTCCTTTTCTCCTTGGACATCTCCTCCATGCGTCTCTTATAAGGACACTTGCCATTCATTGGATTTAGGACCCACCCGGATAACCCAGGATGTTCTCATCAATAGACCTTTGGTCCAAATAAAATCACCTTCACAGGATCTGGAGATTAGGGCATAGATATCAGGCCGTCCGCTTTGGGAAGGGCCAGTGGACAAGGCCAAGGGTTGCAATGGGATTCCAACAGACTTTCCAGGCCTTACAGTTCTTGCGTTGGGTCAGAGCTCGGACGGGTGCATGGGGAAGAGGGTGCACTGGAGAACGAGACAGACCCTCACACTCGAGCACTCGGCAGCCCGGACCCACTTGAGGAAATAAAGCACAGGTATGAGACCGTCTGATCAAAATCCTGCCTCCCAGAAAGCGCAAGCTCAGCCCCACACCCTCCTCCACCATCTCCCCTCCCCGTCCCAGAGCCTCCCAAGACCTTGTTAAACCATAGCGGTTTAGGGGCGCCTGGGTGGCTCAGTCAGTTAGGCGTCTGCCTTCGGCTCAGGTCACGATCCCAGGGTCCTGGGATCGAGCCCCGCATCGGGCTCCCTGCTCAGCGGGGAGCCTGCTTCTCCCTCTCTCTCTGTCCCTACCCCCAACCCATGCTTTCTCTCTCTCTCCAATAAATAAATAAAATCTTTTAAAAAACCAAACAAAAAAAATCCATAGAAGCTTATGGAACAACGATTCAAGCAAGCAGAGGAAGGAACGAAAGCCCTCCCTTATGTAAACTGAGGAAGGGCGCAAGAAAACACAGCCACATTATTTTCAATCAAGTGAGTATAACATCAGTATCAAAATCTGAAAGGAAGGAAGGAAGGAAAGAGGGAGGCTGGGGGTGGGGTAAAAAATCACAGCCCAGCGTCACGTGAAGATTCGTGAAAAACTAAAGAAAACATTAACAAGCAGAATCCAGCAGCGTGTTAAAGGAATAACACAACTTGTCTCAGCATGTTCCCTCCTGGAATGAAAGGGTGGTTCAGCATATTTTGGAAAATTCATTAATATAATTCAGGAAATTCATGAATGTAATATATCATATTCGTGGGTTTAATAAGAAAAGTCATACCATGAATTTCATAGGTGCCGAAAAGACATGGGATAGGCTCAACAACCATTTTTTTAAAAAGATTTTATTTTTTTAAGTTTTATTTATTTAAGTAATCTCTCCACCCAACGTGGGACTCAAACTCACAACCACTGAGATCAAGAGTCGCACGCTCTACGGATAGAGCCAGCCAGGTGCCTCATGGTCTGTCTTTTTAAATCAAGAATGGTTGTTGAGGGGCACCTGGCTGGCTCCATAAGTGGGGAGCGTGTGACTCTTGATCTCAGGGTTGTGAGTTCAAGCCCTATGTTGGGTCAGAGATTACTTTAAAAAAATAAAATCTTTAAAAAAATATTTATTTATTTGAGGGGGGAGGGGTAGAAGGAGAGGGAGAGAGAGTCCTTTTTTTTTTAATATTTTATTTATTTATTTGACAGAGAGAGAGAGAGAACATGCGCCAGGGGGAGAGGCAGAAGCAGACTCCTCGCTGAGCAGGGAGCCCGATTCAGGACTCAATCCCAGGATCCCGGGACCACGACCTGAGCCCAAGGCAGATGCTTAACTGACTGAGCCACCCAGGCGCCCCAGGAGACAGAGTCTTAAGCAGACTCCACGCTGAGCATGAGCCTGACATGGGGCTCGATCTCATGACCCTAAGATCATGACCCGAACCAAAACCCAGAGTCACATGCTTAACTGATTGCACCACCCAGGTGCCCCATAATTAAAATCTTTTTTAAAGAAAACCATGGAAGAATTCCCTTATCACCACGGAATAGAGAGGCCATTTTAATAATGATGCAAAATCCAAAAGCCAAATAAGAAAAGATTAAAAATTTGATGACAAAAAAAATTTACAAAAAAAAAATATCAATAACGATAGCACAATAACAAAGTCAAAAGACAGACTGGAAAAAATACCGGCAACTTTCACCACAGGCCAAGAGCCAACCTTCCACTATCTAAGGGCTTATAGAAATTGGTACGGAAAAAAAAAAAAAAAAGAAAAAAGAAATTGGTACGGAAACCACAAACTGCAATCAGAAAATTGATAAAGAATGTGAAGCAGTTCACAGAAAAAGAAATGCAAATACATCTTAAATACATTAAAAGTTGCTCAACCTCACAAGAAAATAAATGCAAAAGTCAGACTAATTAATTTAGTGAAACACTCTGGAGGCTTGGCAGCTATAATGTGAGGCTGCCTGCATCCCTCCCCTGCACCCGTGGCCCCCTCCACCTGCGAAACTTTGGGCCAGGGGGGCGCCGGGTATGCGTAAGGGGCGGGGAATACTGCAGTCCCGAGTATGACCAGCAGGTGGCGGCGCAGCTGCACCAAGCCCTGCCCCAAGCAACCCCAGAAAAACAGAAAACCCAAATTAAAAATTCCTTGGCCTGGGAGCAGACAATCAGTTGGAGATTCCGGGAGCCTTCTGGCAAATCTGGGAGGTTTGACCTTCTGCTGTAAGCAAAGCCTAGGGGCATCCATGACAAGCAAAGGCAGGGGAGAAGAGAACATTTTTTATGCATATGGAAAAAGGAAATAGAGACAAGAATTCACTCACAGGTGCCATGGATTTCAGCAGTTCCCCTGAGCCCCACAATTTTCTAAATGAGGCTGGGTCCCAGCGCACCAGAATCACCTGGGGGCTTATTTTTAAATGCAAATTCTGGGGCCTCCCCTTGTGGCAGGACCTGCCAGCACTCCTGGGGTTTCGGACCCATGGTCAGGTTTGAACCAGGTTGCCACCAACATGGCAACACGGCCTGGCGTGGGCCAGAAATCAGGGGCCGGAAATGGGAGGCCTCAAAGTCACTGCCCCCGGAGGCCAGGACTTCCCCTGTGAAGATGCTATTTGCACACACATGGCATAAAGCCCAGTTCTTCCATGTGAGATTCAGCCTTCGGGCTTCTGGACTAGGGCTCTGCCCAATCAGCCCCTCGCTCGTGGCCTCCTGCGCTGATTTGGGCTGGTTCTCTCTCCACTTCTCTCTACTCACTGTTTTAAAATTCATAAGGAGGGGCGCCTGGGTGGCTCAGTGGGTTAAGCGTCATGATGTCCGGGTCCTGGGATCGAGTCCCGTGGGGATCCCCGCTCAGTAGGGAGTCTGCTTCTCTCTCATAAATAAATAAATAAAATCTTAAAATATGAAACAAAATTCATAATGAGTTCTTGCCCAGAGAGGCCGAGTATGGCAATAGCCCTGGCTTTGAAATCCAGGCCCAGAACCCCCGCTCCTCGGTCCCCTGGCTGGGTGCCACAGTGGCCGGATTCTCCAAGCCCTCTGGGAAGTTCAGGGTCCAGATGCCTACCCACACCTCATCCACACTTCTAGCACTCGTCAGACTTCTATCCGGAACGGACTCAGCCCATTCCTCCTCTCCTAGCCTGGGAGAGATGACTTCCAGCTCCCTGGCTGGCCCTAAGTCTGACCCCAATTCTGAACTCCAGCCTTCCGGTGGGATTTGGTCCATAACAGGCCAGAGACCACATGGCAGCTGGCCAGGGGCCCTGGAGAGAGCTCGGGCTTCCGTGTCTGGTTCTAATCCCCACTCTGCTGTGTGACCTGGGCTCTCTGAGCCTCGGTTTCCTTGTCTGGAGGAATTAGCACCAACTCTCTTGCGCAAGGGCTGCTACGAGGAGCAAAGGAGAGGGTACGGACCACATGGTCAGCACAGAGCCCAACACACCGCAAGCCCGCAGTGTCAGCAACAGCTGCTACTAAGAAGTTCGGCCGAGGGGGAGTGCTGGGGAGAGGGCCGCCTTTGCACCTCCTCACGCCAAGCTGGGTTGGAGTTAGACCCTGGGTCAGGGAGGTATGACTTCACTCACTTTCCCAGTCTGCACGCCGGCTCTGCTCCAGGCCCACGAGGGGCTCCGAATGGATGTCAAGGGATCACAGCCATGCTTTCCACCCTGAGGGAGCTTCCAGTCTAATAAAGGCAACCTGGAACCTGGAAATAGAAGCTTCCCAAAATAGTGAGCCTGCAAGCTGGTCTCCTGTGCTGCCTGGCGGGAGGCTCGCAGTAAGGAGGGAATGAGCACAGCCCTGGGCCCTCTGGCCTGCTGCCTCCGCGCTGGGAGTCCACCCGCTTCCCTGCAGCCTCGGGGCCAGCTAGGGAGGGCCCTGCCCAGTCCCCCACCCAGTCCCCGCCACTGTGCTGTAGCAAAATGGCCTGAATCTCCGTTCAGCACGGTTGAAGCTCAGGTCAACAGTTTCCTGATTTTAAAGGGCCACACGTAGAGGGATCTGAAAGTTCGGTTTAGGAATGTGAGCAGGCCCCCTGCAGAGAGCTGCCCAAGCCTCCCTCAGTAGCTAGACCTACTTTCCTGCCCAGGAGCCCACGCTGAGATTGAACTTTAACCAAGGCCATGGCCAGGTGCCACTTCCCTCCACAACTGGAGCTCAGTAATATCACAGGTTAGTGCGTCTTACTTGTTTTTCACACCTGCTTGATCTTTTACTCTTGGTGCTGGAGAACCAGGGCGCCTCGGATGCCCCAGGCAGCCTGGGCACAGTGAGCTTTGTCCCTGATGTCCCCTCTCCAGAGGGGTGGGGCACCCAAGCGTCATTCCCAGAAACAGGGTTTCCTGAGAAAAGGAGGAGTTTCTTCAAAGCATCCGGGGCATCTCACGACTGACTCGACCAGTTGCTAGCCCTCACTCCCAACCCAGCTGCAGGCTAGCGAGGGCGGAAGGTCCGATGGCCCAGGGTTCCGGCACTTGCTAGTGGTTCAGCAGCCGGACACTCGCGGGCTCCCTGACCTTTGGGAAGGCCGCCCTGGCTGCCCACAGCTCTGTCCATGGCTTTCGCTGAGCTCCTGGAGCGAGCAGGGGGAGTGGGTCTCTTCCAGGCCCTGCAGGTCTTCACTCTCCTCCTTCCCTCCCTGTTGGTACCCTCCCAACTGCTGATGGAGAACTTCTCGGCCGCCGTGCCCAGCCACCGATGCTGGGTGCCCCTCCTGGACAACAGCACTGCCCAGGCCAGTGTCCCCGGGGCCCTGGGCCCCAAGGACCTCCTGACCGTCTCCATCCCCCCGGGCCCCAACCATGAGCCCCACCAGTGTCGCCGCTTCCGCCAGCCACAGTGGCAGCTCCTGGACCCCAACGCCACGGCCAACTGGAGCGAGGCTGCCACAGAGCCGTGCATGGACGGCTGGGTCTACGACCGCAGCACCTTCACCTCCACCATCGTGTCAGAGGTAAGGGCCTCCCCCCGCCCACCCCCCGGCTCTCTTACCTGGCCACCCGCCCGTGCCTGGAAGGATTGCACCGGCTCCGCCAGCGCTACCGAATGAGATGTTACTCCCTCAACACATATTTACTCACTGCTTAGGAAGGTCCAGACCCTGGTCTGAGGCTGGGGTCCCAGGATAAGCAAGGGAGGCTTTGAGGAGCTCCTGTTCCGCTGGCAGCTTCAGAATGAGTCAACATCTAACCCCAGGAGAGGTTAGGCGCTGTTCCAGAGGCTTTCCCCATGGTCTCCCTCCAGTCTCAACAGGAGAGTGGCAGGCGCTGTTCCAGAGGCTTTCCCCATGGTCTCCCTCCAGTCTCACGAGGGGGGTCTTGTCGTCTGCATCTGGTTAGGAACAGAACAGAAGCACAGTGAGGGAAATAAGTTGCCCAGGGCCACAGCTCCAACACTCCAGCGCCCGGCTCAGCCCGGAGCGCCAGGAGCCGGAAGCTGGGTCTCCATCACACACATCCTGTCCTGCCACGATGAAGGAGAAAAGCAGGTTCTGTGAGCAAGGAGGAGAGGCAGGTGGGGAAGGCCTCTCTGGAGGTGAGACCTGGATTAGGAGATAAGGTCACGTGAAGGTGCGGAGAGAGCCCAGTGGGAACAGAAGTCCAGGTCTGGGGTGTTGAAGGAGCAGAAGGAGGCCCAGTGTGTCTGGGCACAAGGGGTCAGGGGCCGGCGCGATGCAAAGCAGGTGGGTGAGGCGCACCTTCTTCAAGTGCAGGGGAAGGTCACTGGAGGCTTTGGGGCAAGGAAGTCAGGTGAGCTGCTTTGCATTTTCCAGTTATCACTTTGCCTTGTGGAGACAGAGGCTTCCTGCTTCCGAGGGCCTGGCGAGAGAGGCGGAAATGGAACGAAGCTGTCAGGTCTTGGTGGAGGGCTGCTTGGTGGGGGGTGTTCAGGTCACGGATGCCCAGACACGGGCAGGAGGCACTCAGAAATCATGGTGGCACGTGCCCAGCACCCTCTGCTCATCCCGGCAGCCCTGTGAGGGAAGCAGCTGCAGGGCCCCCCTTCTGGGTGAGAAACCAGGCTCAGCAGGTACAGGAAAATCCCCCCACCCCGGGCTCACCCGGTGAGCGATCCACAGAGTTAGGACCCCAGCCTGTGGTTCAGTCCCTGTGCTCCGCCACCCACCTCTGTCCACGCGGACTGGCCGAGGGCCGTGCGTGCCGTGCAGCTACCTGACAGGACAGAGCTGAACCCCCCTGCACCGCCCAGCACACCCCTTCCACCTCTGTCGCCTGGCCTGAGGGAGCCCCCCGGACCCAGGCTGACCAGGCTCCACATCCCCTGAGCCCAGCCGCCGTGCCTGCCCTCTCTTCCAGTGGGACCTAGTGTGTGACTCCCAGGGCCTGAAGCCCCTGGGCCAGTCCATCTACATGGCCGGCGTCCTGCTGGGCTCCCTCTCCTGGGGACTCCTCTCTGACCGGTGAGTACGTTCTCTCCCCCTCGACTCCTCCTCGTCAGAACGAGCACCATGGGGACAGAAGGACAGAAATGGCCCATGAATGTCCCCAGGGAGCAGTGGCGGCCAAGAGGCCCACACCAGCTTAAGCCGCACTGTGCGAGATCCCCTCAAACACCGCGCTCTCTCCTTTGGCGACACCAACCGTCCAGAGCCACCTCTCGTGTGCCAGGCGCGGTACAGGCCCTGCCCTCAGGGAGCCCGTAGTCTTCTGGGGAGAAATAGACCCCTCTTTCTTCTTCATTGTCGTCGTCTTCTTCATTTTTTAAAAAAGATTTTATTTACTTATTTATTTGTTTGTTTGTTTGTTTCAGCGAGAGAGAGCATGCGAATGAGCATGGGGGGGTGGGGCAGAGGGAGAGGGAGAAGCAGGCTCCCCACCGAGCAGGGAGCTCGATGTGGGGCTCTGGGCTCCCTCCCAGGACTCTGGGATCCTGACTTGACCCGAAGGCAGGTGCTTAACTGCTTTAACCGCTTAACCGACAGGGCCACCCAGGCGCCCCCCACCCCTCTTTCTTCTAACTCCAAGTACTTGGCACATCGGGAAGTTGAAATCCTCCTCCCCCCCCCGTGGCCCCGCCCCTTCTGTCTCCTGCTCCTCCCTGTGAGGTGGTCCCCACCCCCCCCCAGCCCAGTCCCTTCTCTTGGCCGGCTGCCCACCCCCGCTGCTTGAGGCCCTGCCACCGAGCACCAGTAATGCCTACGTTACGCCCACTCGGCTGGTAAAGCCAGCGGCCTGCTTGGAGTTTGCACGTGGAGGAGCATTTGCCTCACATTTGCCGCGGCCAACGCTGGACTCCTGACCCTCCACCGCCAGCCCAGCCCCTCCGCACCAGACTCCATCCGGGAAAACGGCCCCCTGGCCCATGGCACACACCCAACCCTGGAGCCAGCCCTGTTCTCCCACCCTCACCCCTAGATCCAGCCCCACGCCCCTCTCCTCCACACTGGCCTCCTGCCCAAACCACCTGCCTCTCTTGCCCGGGCAGGCCCTGGCCCCCTCCAGGGTCTCTTGCCTCCATTCCGAGTGACTTTCAAAAACCTCTATGTGGATCTGGTTGATGCCAGCCTGAAGTCCTCCTGGCCCACCACACTGAGGACGGTTCCTGCCCCCCACCCCGTCCCCCTCCACCCCTGCTTGGCACTTGGCTTCTCTCCCACAGCCATGCCGGCCCCTCCTGGAGCACCCTCGGCATCCTGGCTGCAGAGCTCCGAGGTGGCCGGTGGCCGAGCCTCGCTCTGAAGGTTCTCCTTGTGGTCTCTTTGTGCCCAGCACGCAGGCAGCCTCCTGGCCACGCCTGCTTTCCTTCCTCACTGCACCTACTCTGACAGTACTCGGTCACTCACTCCTTGCTCACCTGCTGTGTGCGTCCCCACGAGACGTAGCTCCAAGAAGGCAGGGGTGCGGCGTCCCCAGCATCCAGCACGCAGCACGCACTCAGTCATTATTTAGTGAATGCACGAATGGCTTCCCCACTTTCTCCTGACCGTGAGGGCTCAGGGGTCTGACCCTGGGTTCCCATCCCCACCTCTCTTTCCCTCATTCCCCAGAAGGCGGGTGTGTTGCTTCTCTGGGCCTCCATTTCTTCCCGTACGTGGGGACCTGGCTCTGTCCATGGGGTTGTGGGTTAACCACAGACAGAGCTTGGGCCAGGGCCTGGCATGGGGCGGGCTCCTCGTGCTGTGGTTCTGCTACCATCGTCATCTGTGGGCCTTATTTAATCCTGAGTGTGGTGGGGGGCCCGAGCAGCGGGGAAGGACATGGTCCAGGTGGCACTTTCCAAGGACAGCTTCCGTGCGGCTCTGGCTCATTCCCCAGGGACCGTCCACACCGGGAGCCAAATCACTGTCGGTCTGCAGCTTATCCAGTGAGCCTGGTGTCAGGAACTGGTGTCAGCATCCAGACCCCGCCCTGGGTCTGGGCCAAATGTCCTTGTTCCTGGGCACTGCTCAGACAGACGGGCCAAGCGTGGCCCACATCTCTCCCATTGGACCAATGCACAGTTTAGCTAAATGCGGGCCATGGTTTGGGCTAAGCCAGCCTCGGGGCCATAGTGGCATGGTGGGTGTGCAGCTGGACGGCTGAGGGCCCGACACGGGTTGTCTCCCGGGAGCTCCAGTCCCAGTGCGCAGACCAGCGGGGAGCTGTCCAGTTTGCCCAAGGCCACGTGCGCTCAGCCTCCCGGCTGCGCCGCCCCCTCGCTCGGCATCATGGTTTTCACAACTCTGAGGCTGTCATCATGCCTACCCGCATTGCACAGACGGAGAATGGTGGCTCAGAGACTTTGAGTCCTGTGCCCAGGGTCACCCAGGCAGGACAGAGCTGGGCTCAAACCCAGACTTCTGATGCCAAAGCCCATCTTTGTTCAGTTTTTACTTAAATTCCAGTTAGTTAACATGCATTGTAATATGAATTTCAGGTGTACGATACAGTGATTCAGCCATAGCCCATTCTTTTTTTTTTTAAGATTTTATTTATTTATTTGAGAGAGAGCGAATGAGAGAGAGAGCAGGGAGAGAGGCAGAGGGAGAGGGAGAAGCAAGCTCCCCGCTGAGCAGGGAGCCCGATGCGGGGCTCAGTCCCAGGACCCCGGCATCATGACCTGAGCTGAAGGCAGACGCTTAACGACTGAGCCACCCAGGCGCCCCAATCAAAGCCCATTCTTGACCCTGAGATGACGCTGGCCCTGAGATCGAGGCGTCTGCCCTTTTTATAACAAGCACACTGGGAGCATGCTCCTAGGAGATCCCCGGGGGGTGGGGTATGGTGCTGCCTGTACTGAGGTGCCCCAGCAGATGCCCCACCCTCTCGAACCCTCCTTTCCCTTGAAGCACCCGCCTCCAGGCCCAAGTCCCCAGGGCCCCTCTCCAGGCCCCCACAGTGCTTGTCTCCCAACACAGGTTCGGGCGGAAGCCAGCGCTGAGCTGGTGCTGCCTGCAGGTGGCTTTGGCCAACACCAGCACCATCTTTTCTTCCAATTTCCTCATCTACTGTGGCCTCCGGTTCCTGAGCGCTTTTGGAGTGGCCGGCATCATCATGACCCCGGTGACACTCAGTGAGTCTCTCTCTCCCTCGGCTGCGCCTGCCCTGGTGGTGGTTGGGGGCGGGGATGGGGCCCGAGGCCACTGCTCAGCCCTTACCTGCCTGTCTGCATCACGTTTCAGTGGCCGAGTGGACCACAACCCGCAGGAGGGCCGTCACCATAACAATGCTGGGATGCTCCTATAGCCTGGGCCAGTTGACCCTGGGGGCGTTGGCCTTCACCCTGCGGGACTGGCGGGCTCTCCAGCTGGCCGTGTCGATGCCCTTCTTTGCCATCTTCCTGATCTCCTGGTTGGTACAATGTGGGGCCTTTGCTCTTGAGGAGGATGCCACTTGTTAGGAAGGAGATTTGGGGGGCCAGGGTGCCCCTCACCCCCACCACCCTGGCCGGCCGTGGATCCCGAGACGCTGAGAGCCAGGTAGGGCAATGATGTGTGTGGAGCCCCTGCTCAGGAGAGACATCTCGGGGGTTCAGAGTTCCAGGGTGGACGTTTTAGCCAGATGTCTCTCAGGCTCCCACCCGTCGTGCTGGCTCTCGGGCCTTCCCCTCCTCGGCACTAGCTGCCCCCCACCTGCTAGCCCCTTCCTTCACGTCACTTGCTCACCCCCGGCCCGTGGGCTCCTGAGTCAGTGAGGACTGGCGTTAGATATGAAAGGATACCATCATCACGATTATTTGGGGTGCTGCAACACTCTCTGAGGTCTGGAAACACGTGGTTGGGTGAGGGACAGGGGACCAAACCCAAATTCATGACCCTGTAAGTTCTTTCGTGTCCATGAACCAGGGTTGGGGGGACCTGTGCCCCGTTAAGTCTACTGTGGGGTATAGAGAGTAGCAAGGACTCATTCATTCCTTCTCCTTTACTGCCCCATGCCAGACACGGTTTTAGGCCCCGGGGGCACATCAGCAAAGAAAACAGATCAAAAGCCGCTGACCACGTGGAGTTTTATCGATAACAACAGGATCAGTAAGTGAGGAGGAAGACATCCCATAATCACACTTATTAGGCTGCTCTAGTCACCCTGGTTGGGTGCGTCCCAGGGGCTGTTAGTCACCCCAGATGTGTATTCACTTCTTCTAATGAGGAAGATGATAGGATGACCACCATTTTCAGAGGAGGGACTGAGGCCCAGAGAGGTTCAGTGACTCACCGTAGGCCACACAGCCGGTAAGTGCCAGAGGCAGGATTTGAACCCAGGCAGGCTGGCTCTTTGAACCACTAGGGCAGGCGGCCTCCGGATGGATGCAAACAGAGCTGAGCCCCTCCGGGCTGGGAAAATGCCAGTCCTCTCACCCAGGAGATGCCTCTCCCTGCTATCTGCCCCGAGGCTGGGAAGAAGCAGGCTACTTCTGTAAAACCACTCAGTTCTGGCTGGGGATGTGTTTAGTGCATGTGTGCGTGCGTGCGTGCGTGAGTGTGTGAAATTCAGCATGATGTGAGCTGTCACAGAAATGGTCTCAGCATCACCGTAGGCTCAGGCAGCCGTGCACGGGCCGTGCGCAAGCCCCCGGCAGCCGGGAAGCCAGATGGGGTGGCTCGGAGGAAAGAGGGCGGCCAGGCATTGGGACTCAGCTTTACTGGGTACCAAGGGAGCCCACCAGTCTCGCATCCTGGCCCCAGCCGTGCAGAGGGGAGAGCAGTTGCCGTCTCTCTCCCACTGCCGCTGGGGGAGCGGCTGCCCACGTCCCCCTCCTGACCTGACGAGGAGGGCCCTGGACGCGGGAAGAGCGCAGGGGCCCTGGCAAGTGCCTGCATCTTTAACAGGTGGCTGCCGGAGTCTGCCCGATGGCTGATTATTGTGGGCAAACCAGAACAAGCGCTCCAGGAGCTCAAAAAGGTGGCCAGGATAAACGGCCACAAAGAAGCCACAAAGTCACTGACCGTCGAGGTGAGATGCCCCTGTTTGTGACCCAGAGTGTGGGACGTGGCAGGGAGAGGACAGCCACTGATGACTGATGTCTTGTCACCAGCTTCACCGCTACCCCCCCCCATAACAGCTGTGACAACCCCCAGCTTGCTTGTCGGCGGCTTCCACCCACATGCATTGCATGCTCACCTCGTAGGGCTTCTTGGTGTGTTTGGGGGAAACTGCATGTGCTTCTCTGAAGGTGATTATTTCAAGGAAGTAGGTGTGGGAGGATGTGCAGCAGAAACAAAACACAGCCTGGGGGTGGGAGGATCAGGGAAGGCTTCCAGGAGGAGGTGAGCCAACGAAGACTGAGCTGAGCACGGGGCAGGTGGGGCCCAGAGGGGCAGGAAGAGTCTGGATGGGCACTTGGGTGCAGTGGGGAGCCCGTGTGGCTGGGGTAGGAGGCGTACCCTGAGGCCAGCCATGAGGGGCAAGGAGGGGTGGTCGGGTTTGTGTAGGAACTGCCGAGAGCAGCCCGCAGCTCAGAGGGCCAGAGCTGGGACACAAGCCTGGCTCCCTGGCTCAGAGTAGGGGGGCCAGGTCAGCAGAAGAGAGCTCTGTCAGGGGGCCAGAGAGAGGTCTTTCTTTCTGTCTCCATCCCCGCCCCCACCCCAAGGCTTTCCAGTTTCCAGAAGCCAAGGCCAGGCTCCTCACATCACTCTGCCCACCTGGACACCATTCCCTGGCACGGGGGTGGGGCGGGGCCCGTGCCCCTCCCGCACTCACTGTGTCCCCCTCTCCCCCCAGGTGCTCATGACCAGCATGGAGGAGGAGGAGGCGGGGGCCTCTATGAAGGCCCGCAGGTCAGTGCTGGACCTGTTTCTCTTGCCCACGCTCCGCTGGAGAAGCTGCAGCATGTTCCTGGTGAGGTATGCCCCCCAGCTCATGCCTCCCAGAGCCAGGCCTGAGGAGGGAAGCGGGGATGGAATCAGTGGAGGCCGGCGGCCAGGGCCCAGGGCGATGGGAGAATTCACCCAAGGCAGAACAAAAGACATAGAAGTTTATTGAATTCACTGCAAGGGAGCAGAGGAGAGACTGTCTGCCAGGAGGCAGTGGGGGGGCGGGGCTGTAGTTATAGGGGAGGGGGAGGAGGTAGGGGAATGTGTGGAACGTTCCTTTTTTGGTCCGATTGGTCAGTGAGGGCTTATGGCTGTTTTGAGGTGGGTCCCTGGTGGGCCTGTTTGCAGGGTGGTCGCTGTGGGCCCTTCTGCCTTACTGGGGCTTCCAATGCCCAAGCCTGTTGCCTAAAAGCGGCCTCTACTGTGTCCGGGGTGTGAGTGGGGAGCAGCTCCTGCACGGCCTCAGGAAGCACGTTTCTGGCAGGACAGGCAGTTCCCCCAGGAGGCAGGAGTCCCGGACCGCACTGGGGAGGGGCTGGGGGGTTCATGCGGGAAGCCAGCTGGAGGGCAGGAACAGGGGCACGCTGAAGCCCAGGCTGGCCGCGAAGCCTATGTCCCTAGAGATGGGGGACCAGATGTGGCTGGAGAGGGCCACTGGCCCACTTACGCCAAGCTCATCTACACCCCCACTTTACAGAGGAGACAGCAGGGCCCATTGGGGCAGGTAACTTGCCCAAGATGACTGAACAGGCATTTGAACCATGGCTGAGCTACCTCCTTGCCCGCTGCCGCCCACCAGGCCCTGCATTGAGCATGGACTCCCCAGCAGGCCCCCGTCTTGGCACCCATGGGCACCTGGGACCAGGAGAAGGCCCCTTAAGAAAACAAATTCAGTTCAAGTGACTTGCAGAGAGCACACTGAGAAGTGAGGGTCAGGTTTGATGGAGACTGGATCTTGAAATAAAACTAAAGATTAAGAAAACGTTTATTTTATGCTATATTTAACCACATATGGGTTTCAATGGCAAATATTTATTTGCTACACCTTAGGGAATGGATCAAATGCTTTTACTCGCCCCCCCCCCCGCCTTAAGTTTTTTCTGACAAATGAGAAGGAGTGCCTGGCACCAGGAATGTCTGGGGCCATTCTTTCAAACCCTTCAAGGCTTCCTCAGGGCTCCCAGGGGCCGCTCGGCATCCTTTGTTATTCAAATCACAGGCGGGGAAGCCGCTAACCTGGTGGGTTTCTCGGCTTCCGCCGTTAACCCCTTCGGTACCGGCCCTAGAGCCTCAGCATCAGCTACTTGGAGCCAGAGCTGAGCCCCTTCCCCACGGGGCTTCCACAAACTTAGGGAACCACGGGGGCCTGCAGCTTTAGTCTGCAGCTGGTGTCAGCTGGTGTCAGCTGCCTTGCTGGGTGCAGCGCTCAGGTGCGGCCCAAGGGGAGTGTCCGTGAAGCAGGGATGGGGACCGATTTGAAAAGTGGTAGGGAGTAATTTCACACCACAGTCACTGCTGGATCCAAATTCAGTCTCCAAACTGTGGAAATCCAGCTACGGTTAAGTTCAGCTTCGGCTACTCAGGAGCCAGGGCGGTCTGTCCCATGTCCACCCCCTACCCTCCAGACTTGGGGTGGAGGTCAGTAAGCAGGAAGTTCGTTGGAGAGGGTTCTTGGGATCCCTGCCTGGGGACGGGGATGGGGAGGCTAGGGGAGGGGAGGGGAGGGGAACAATCGGATGGGGCAGGGGAGCAGTCCTGGTGGTACTGTCACAGCAAGGCCCCCTGCAAGCCCACAGAGGGCCCGAGGAGCTGGGGTGGCCCTTCTGAACCATCCGTCTGGCCTGTGTCATGGGATCTTCTCCCCAACTGAGAGGCAGCACTCCCAGAGGCTGGGAAAATAAGACTTGCCCTCCTGCAAGAAGGACAACACAGCCCACCTCCTCCTACTGTGAATCCCATCTTTCAAGATAAAGAAACTGGCACCCAGGAAAGGGCAGAGACTCGCCCAGGTTCAGGGCTAGTAGGAGTCATGGTTCTAGCAGTGACTGGAAATAAAGCGAGAGTGCTAGGGCCAGACCTGAAGCTCAGCTTGACCCACACAGCGCGTCAGCCCAGAGAGTTAAGTGTCCCCACTGGCTGGTGGCCAGGGAGCCTCAGAGATGGCTGCCTAAGGCGGAATGAATGAAACCCGCCCTTTCTCTCCTGGGCCAGCCCCACTCTCGAGAGATGTGTCCGGCATCCAACAGACAGGTTTTTCGGGGTCCAGTAGTGACCTGCTCAGGACGGCCTGGGCCCTCTGGGGACAGCTCAGGTGTGTGCCCTCTCCTCTGGGGCAGGGATCCGATTTCTGGCTTTGCCCTGCAGCTTCTCCCAAATGATCTCCTACTACGGGCTGGTCCTCGACCTGCAAAACCTGGGGAGTGACATCTTCCTCCTCCAGGTCCTCTTTGGAGCTGTAGACTTACTGGGCCGGGCCACCACCACTTTCTTGTTCAGCTTCTTGGGCCACCGTACGACCCTGGCCAGCTTCCAGGCCATGGCTGGCCTCTCCATCCTGGCCAACATACTGGTCCCACAAGGTGAGGTGGGATGGACTGAGTGGGCTGAGCAGCTGACAGTCTGGGGCACTGGCTTCCCTGCCTGCCCCCCCGCCACCCCCCCCGCCTGCTGCACTCGCCTCCTGGGGTCCTTCCCCTCCCCTGTCCCCCCACCCCAGCACCCCTGCGGCCCTGTGTGCAGGCTGTGCCCAAGCCTACACCTGCCACATCAGCTCAGGCATCCAATCCCCCTACCGCCCCCGCTCCGACCCATTCCCCTGAGGTGACTGAGGTTCAGAGAGGTGAAGTTGGGTGCCGCAGGTCACTCAGCTAGCTAGTGACAGGGCCAGGGCTGGGACCAGACTTCAAGCCCGAGGCTGATCCTGAGGTGGGAGGAGGGGCTGGGGAACAACTTTAGTTGCTTGAAGTGAGGCGGGAACACCAAGCCTGGGGCACTGGGGTGTGCAGATTCCTGGCCAGGGCTCCTGTCTTACTCTTTTCTTTCTGAATGAGACTTTAATGCCCAGAAAACCCTCTCAAGCCGGGGTGGCGTGGGGTGGCTGGTGGAGGGGCGGGGACCCCGCGTGCTGAGCTGATAGCAAAGCCAGGAGGGAGGCAGAGGGCCGGTCTCCCAAACAAGCTGCAAGAGGCAGTGCTCAGGGAAAACTTGCAAAGACAAGTGTGTGACAGTTTCTGAGACTCTTCATTACAACGTGTGGGAGGGAAAGCTGAGGCCGAGTGTGGCTTCCTAGCTAGGGCTCCCCGCAGAAGCCAGCGTTCCCACAGGCAGACGGAAGGCAGTGAGGACCTGCCTTGACCCTCTCCTTCGTGGAAGAAGCACACCCAGGTCCCAAAGAGCTTTGGCACGGTGACACTGTAGGGAGCAGGCCCCGAGAGCCATCCTCTGCTGCCCCAGCTTGCCCACCCCAGACCTGGCTGGGTTCTGGCCCTGCCCCCCCACCCCTCCTCCCAGCCCACCAACTGTGATGTCAGGCTGCACCCACAGCCCTGGGCGGCCTGGCACCAAGTCAGCACTGTGGGGCACCTGGGAGCAGTCAAGGAAGCCCTGCGCTCCGGGCTGACTGGGGACCCCTCGGGCAGAGCCCACTGTCACCCTCTTCCTCTGCCCAGATTTGCAGACCCTGCGCTTGGTCTTCGCCGTGCTGGGAAAGGGATGCTTTGGCATAAGCTTAACCTCTATCTCTGTCTACAAGCCCGAACTCTACCCAACTGCACTGCGGTAGGCTGAGCTGCACGCTGCACCCAGGAGGGGCGGCCAGACCCAGGGCGCATGAGAAAGGGACGTCCCTGGGAAGGCCCGTGGGGAGGAAAAAGAGGGGCTGGGCGTCCAGGAACAACACAGCAGACCGGGGAGAGTGGGGTGGGTCCTAGGGAGTCCATGAAGGACTCTGGATTGGATGCTCTCAGGAAGGAGAAGGCCCCTCTGGGTGGGAAAATCTAGGTGAGCTCCATGGAGGAGGTAGTGTTAGGAAAGACTTTGAGGAGTGCAGCTCCTTCACCCAGCTTTCCCTCCCCTGGCACATCCTGACCCAGCCAAATGCCTCCCCCCCCCCAGTAAAGCCCCCTTCTTGAAAGTGGCAGTGATGACAAGGGGCTGGGCCCTCCCCTCCACCCCCAGGATGACAGCAGATGGCTTCCTGCAGTCGGCAGGTCGTCTGGGGGCTGTGATGGGGCCCCTCATCAGGATGACTCGCCCGGCCGTGCCCCTGCTGGCCCCCGTCTCCTACGGTGTCATCCCCATCGCCTCCAGCCTGATCCTCCTGCTCTTCCTCCCGGAGACCAAGGGGCTTCCACTTCCTGACACCATCCAGGACCTGGAGAGCCAGTGAGTGATCCTTGGTCACCCTGGGGGTAGGGCTGGGCTTCCAGGAAGTAGCTGGGCAGGGCTGCAGATGTGGGGGCAGGCCTCCCCACGGCCCCAGGACGGGACGGGAGAGCCCAAGGGTCAGGGAGACAGGCTAGACGAAGAGGCCAGAGCTGGGCTGGGCTTGTCATCGAGACGGTACCCGCAGCTTCAGTGTGCCGAGAGCTGACCGCATCCCCAGTGCCTCGGGGCGGCAAGCCGGTGGGCATCAGGGCTTTGCCTCTGAAACCACGTAATCATTGCAACAACACAGCCAGGAAGAGACTATTTCCATCACTGTTTGCCAGAGGCTCAGAGAGATGAAGGGATGATTCAAGGTCTCGCAGGTAGAAGGCCATCGTCCCTTAGGCAGGGAAATGCAGAGGCTCTGAGCCCGGCTCTGCAGCCAGACTGCCTAGGACTGAATCCCTATGCCCCGGGCGTGCACTGACCTCTCTTACCGAACTCGCCCAAGAGGATGGAGCCAGCCCCGACCGCCCTAGTTCAGTCTTCCCCCAGGAATCCCAGGCCCAGACAGATCAACAGCTCAGTTTCTGGAACACATCATGCTACCCTCACGCCATCCTTTGAGAGAACAGAAATGAGGGAACATTCCTCAAGTTTATTTTATGGCCCGAATCACCACGATGCTTCTGCTTTCTCGTTTTTAAAATGGGGGTTAAAACAAAACAAAACAAAACCCAGCCGAGCTCAAAGAGCTGTTTTCGAGTTGAAGTTATTATATTAAAGCACTGAGGATAGTGCCTGGCCCACAGCACGGGCCCCAGGAGTGTGGTTGCTGTGTCCTGGGTAAGGGTAGTCATGGGGCGGCAACAGGCTGATCAGGAACCATCCATGCTCATGGATGGGGGTGCCTGGGTGGCTCAGTCAGTTGAGCATCCCACGCTTGACTTCGGCTCCAGTTGTGATCTCAGGGTCCTGGGATTGAGCCCTGTATTGGGCTCCCCGCTCAGCAGGAGAGTCTGCTTGTCCCTCTCCCTCTGCTCCTCTCTCTCTCCCAAATAAATAAATAAAATCTTTAAAAAGAGAGTAATACTAACAGCTGGTGCTCAGAGGGCCCTCCCTGCTTCAATAGAGCATCTTCTTTAATTCAAACAACCCCACAAAGAGCTGTTATGTTCAATTTCACTGCCAAAGAAATGAAGACACAGAGAGGTCATGTAACTTGCCTAAGGACACTCAGCTAAGAAGCAGGGAAGGTGGGTCTTAACTTACTCTTTCACTTTTTTGAGCACCCACTATGTTTGGGCAGTGTCTTATGCTTTGGGGGACACGGCGGAAAATCAAAACCTAATCTCATGGAGTTTACATGCTCATAAGACTTGACCCCCAGTTCCACCCTCTTCAGCTGTCTCACCACACACCACCCCTCTGTCTTTTGATTACTCTAGGAAATCGGCAGCAGCCAAGGGCAAGCATCGAGAGGTGGCCATTACAGAGAGTACCTGGTTCTAGCAGTTCTGCCTGCGAGGAGCCCCTTTGGCTGAAGATTCCCACGAAGGGACTTGCCTCCTCTCCAGTGGAGGGAAGAAGCAATCTGGAGAACGCTGAGGGCCTATACCGTGGCTGACGCTGGGGCAGCTGGACTGAGGGGCAGCATTGAAGCTGAAGGCTGCTTTCCCCGCTCACTTCTCTTCCCCCCACCTCAGCCCTGCAGAGGCCCGGCCCTGTCGACAAAATGGGTTCTGTCCCCTCCCCGCCAGGCTCCCATCTTCACACCTTCACTCAAAACTCCTGACTTACTTCACTGAGCCGGAAGCTGCAGATGTTTCCTGCAGGTTTCTCACCTCCAGCTACCAGAGCGGATCCTAGGACAAAAAAGAAAGTATCTGGACAGACCTGAGTCCCAACCCCTCCCGCACCATTTGTGGAGTCCTCTGTAAAATGGAAATGATCATGGAATCTACCTCCCCGGGAGGGGGTCTGGGGGTGACAGGGTTAACAGATCTTAGCACAGACCAGAGTCCAACACATAGAACCTTCTGGCAGAGCTGCCAGCTATAGGTGTTCAGGTTGTGCTCTGCCTGAGGCAGCAGCTGATGCAGGACATGTGGGGCTACGCACTGGAACAGCGGGAACCACCAGGGGCTGTGGGAGGCAGGCTTTGTAGCACCAAGAGGGCAGAGTGATCCCTGGTTCCCAAGGGAGGATGTGATTGATGTGTCTGAGGAATCCCACCCGTTACCAGGGAACTGAGGCCCCCTCTTCAGGAATAACAGGAATAGGCCCCTGGATGCTTGACATTAAGTGTTTGCTACGGGACCCTATCCACAGGAGCAGGTGGGGCAGGATTTGCAGTTTGGCCATTCGAGACCCTCCTGGTTTCCCTACATGTCAAGGCAACACATCATATTGGGCCTTAGTTTGAGGCCTTACATCACAGGGGTACCCTTCCTTTGGTTGTCTATCTCAAAGGGTCACCTTTGCCTAATTCACACAAAGACCCTCCCTGTGCTGGCAGCAGCCCATGCTGCTAAAACTGTGGAATCACTGGGGCTGACCACCTACTTTAGAGGCAAGAAAATTAAAACTCAGAGAGGTGGAGTGACATGTTTGGAGTCTCATGGCTGAGCCCTGGCCAGGAGGCCAGGCTCCCAGTCCAGAGCTTTTTCCAGCACACCAGGCCCCTCACACTCACCTCCAGCCCTCTAGGCCTGACATCTGCAGCCCTGTCACAGAGTTACTTCCACACCCTTCCCTGGAGAGCCAGACCCTCTAGACAACTGCCCACTCTCCTTGGATGACTCAGAAGCCTCAAGCTGTAGGTTTCCCATCCCAGGCATCCCCATTTCCCTCTGTCAAATCCAATGCACACCAGGCCAGTCAAACACAATTCAAATCAAATCCCCTATCTGCTTAAACCCTCTGGTGGCTCATGATAAAGACCACGGTTCCCCCACCAACAGGCTTCCATGGGTCTCTAGTCTTGCTTCACATGTAATAAATATTTAAAAATTCAAATCATATAAAGTATGTTCTTGGATCCTCATGGAGAGAAATTAGAAATCAGTAACGGAGCAGTATCTAGAAAACTCCTTCACACTAAACAATACACTTCTAAATAACCCTGGGCCAAAGAATTCATCACAAAGGAAATTAGGAAATATTTTGAATTGAATGAAAATTTTAAAAAATGGCACATCAAAATTTGTGGGATGAAGCTAGAGAAGGGGTTCAAGGAAAAATTAATATCATTAAGTGATTACATTAGAAAGGAAGAAAGTCTCAAATCCAATATCTCAGCTTTCACCTTTAGTAATTAGAAAAAGAAGAGGTAATTTAAACTAAAGGAAGTAAAAGAAAGGAAATAAACAGAAATCAGAAAAATAGAAAATGATCAAGAAAATCAGTGAAACTTGAGGCTGGTTCTTTGAGAAGTCAATAAAATTTATAAATCTCTAGGTGTACTGATGAGGAAAAAAAGAAAAGAAAAGATGTACATTACCAGTATCAGGAGTAAAAGAAGAAGCATCACTACCAATCCTACAGACATTAAAATAATAAGGAAATATTATGAGCAACATTTTGCCAATAAATTTGACAACTTAGATGAAATTAACAAATTTCCTGAAGGATATGAACTAGCAAAGCTTGCTTAAGAAGAAACAGATAACATTATTAACCCTATATCTGTGAAAGAAATTGAGGTTTTGGTTTAAAACCTTCCCACAGAGGAAATTCCAGGCCCACATGGCTTCACTGGTGAATCCTGCCAAACAACTAAGCAAAAAAAAAAAAAAAAAAGTAAAAATTATGCCCAAAATCTTCCAGAAGATTGAAAAAGAGAGAACACTTTCCGGCTCATTTCTTGAGGCCAGCATCACCCTGATTCCAAAGTCAGAAAAAGATATAACAACTATAAACCAATATCTTTTACAAACATAGACACAAAAACTCTTAACAAACATTTAGAAAATTAAATGCAACATTATGCTAAGAAGGGCAATGCATCGTGACCGAGTGGAGTTTATCCCAAGAAGGCAAAGCTGGTTTAACATTAAAAAATCAAGATTAACAAACTAAATTATTAACAAACTATAGAGGAAAGACCATATGATCATCTCAATAGATACAGAAAGTGCATTTGACAAAATTCAACATCCATTCCTGATAAACAACATTCAGCAAATTAGGAAAATTAGTGAATTTCCTCAACCTGACAAAGGATGTCTATGAAAAACCTACAGGTAACATCATACTTAATGGTGAGAGACTGAATGCTCTCCTGTCAAGATCAGGACTGATCTGATCTCTACTCTCATTCTCACCACTTCTATTCAATATTGGTTCTAGTTGTGCAATAAGGAAAGAAAAAAATAAATAAAAGTCATCTAGACAAGAAAGGAAGACATAAAACTATCTTTAATTTGCAGATGACAAAATTGTAGAAAATCCTAAGAAATCTACAAAAATGTTACTAGAACTAATAAATGAGTTTTGCAAGGTTACAGGAGACAAGGTCAAGATACAAAAATCTCTTGTATTTCTATATACTTGTAGCAATCAGAAATCAAATGTTTAACACAATGCCATTTAACAACAGCATGGGAAAATGTGATATTAGGGATAAACCCAACTAAAGAAAGACAAGATCTATAAACAGAAAAGCACAAAACTTTGTGGAGTGGAATTAAAGAAGACCTAAATAAATCGAGAGATATACCATATTCATGGGTCGAAAGACTCAATATCATCAAGTTGTCCATTCTCAACAAATTAATCTAGAGATTCAATGCAATTCCAGTCAAATGCCAGCAGATTTTTTCAGTATAAATTGACAAGCTTATCCTAAAGTTTATATGGAAATGCAAGAGCCCTAGATCAGCCAAGTTGATTTTGAAAAAGAAAAGCAAAGTTGGGTAACTTTTGTTTGATATAGAATCAAGAGTTCGGAAATAGAGTCATGCTAATATGGTTGCTTGATTTTCTTTCTTTCTTTTTTTAAAGATTTTATTTATTAATTTGCCAGAGAGAGAGAGCGGGAGAGAGAGAGAGAGCGAGGGTACAAGCAGGGGAGCAGCAGAGGGAGAAGGAGGCTCCCTGCTGAGCAAGAAGCCCGATGTGGGACTCGATTCCAGAACCCTGGGATCACGACCTGAGCTGAAGGCAGATGCTTAACCAACTGAGCCACCCAGGTGTCCCTATGGTTGCTTGATTTTCAACCAATGTGCCAAATCAGTTAAATAAAGAAAAGACAATCTTTTCAGCAAATGATGCTGGAATAATTAGATAGTCATATAAAAGAAGGAAGGAGAAAGAGAGAAAGAAGAAAGAAAAAGAAAGAAAGGGGGAGGGAAGGAAGGAAGGAAGGAAGGAAGGTGGGGGGGGAGAAGTTCAACCCTAACTCACACCATATACAAAAATTAACTTTAAATGTACAGTAGACAAATAAGAGCTAAAATTATAAAAACTTTAGAAGAAAACAACCTGGGTTTGGCAAAAATTTCTTAAATAAGACACAAAAATATGAGCTTATTACAAAGGAAAAAATGATATATCAGACTTCATAAAACCGAAAAACATTTGTTTTCCAAAAGACACTGTTACAAAAACAAAAGGCAAGCTACAAACTTGGAGGAAATATTTGGAAAAATCTGTATCTGACAAAGGACTTCTATCTAAAAAACATAAGGAGCACTTATCACTTAACAACAAAAAGGATAATCCAATTTTTAAAACGGGCAAAATGTTTGAACAGACGCTTCACCAGAGAGAAGATGTGAATGGCAAGTCAGTGCGTGAAAAGATGAACCACATCATCAGATGAGAACCACAACAACATGCCACCACATCGAGGCGCCTGGGTGTCTCAGCCAGTTAAGGTCCTGGGTGGCTCAGTTGGTTAAGCGACTGCCTTCGGCTCAGGTCATGATCCTGGGATCTTGGGATCGAGCCCCTCGTTGGGCTCCCTGCTCAGCGGGAGCCTGCTTCTCCCTGTGCCTCTCTCCCCCACTCGTGCACGCTCTCTCTCTCTCTCAACTAAATAAAATCTTTTAAAAAATGATTTTCAAATGCCTGTGCACAAAAAATGGGGCCTCACTTATCCTCAGAAGCCCCCATGTGGCCCCCACCCACCTCACTGCTCCCCGCGTCCCCTGCTTCCGTCCGCCTGCCTGCTCTTGACACAGCCCTCAGCGATATGCTGTAGCAACACCAGCGTGGAATTCTATGGTCTTCTGCCGCTCGCTTCTTTCAACTCAATATTAGGTGACACATCCTTATCATTGGTGGCTGTAGCACTTCGCTCCCTTACACGTTTATTAAACTTGAATGCGAGCCTGGAGTGGAGCATCTATGGGAAGACTGCTCCCAGCCCAGGCCCTGAGGCCACGCGCGCCGGGCCTGGCGTGTCGGGGGCAGGCTGGTGCTGTGGTCACACAAGTGGCAGGGCTGGTGGCCGTGGTGGTAAGTGTTGACTGGATTCTGGGTGAGAAGGGGCCTGTGAGGTCTTGAGC